ACTGGTAGCGGAGCCTCGAGCTCCAGCTACATCCGTTTAGCTGCAAGTGTGGACGATCCGGGGAGGTCGACAATCCTTTCATGTTAACTTGCGCCACGTGCACATCTAACGTTACGTCACTGGGTTGGGGGGGGTGGGGATGTGAACGTTCATGTTAACTTGCGTCACGTGCACATCAACCTTACGTCACTGGGTTGGGGGGGTGGGGATGTTAACGTTCATGTTAACTTGCGTCACGTGCACATCTAACGTTACGTCGCTGGGTTGAGGGGGGCTGGGGATGTTAACGTTCATGTTAACTTGCGTCACATGCACATCTAACGTTACGTCACTGGGTTGGGGGATGGGGATGTTAACGTTCATGTTAACTTGCGTCACGTGCACATCTAACGTTACGTCACTGGGTTGGGGGGGTGGGGATGTTAACGTTCATGTTAACTTGCGCCACATGCACATCTAACGTTAGGTCGCTGGGTTGGGGGGGTGGGGATGTTAACGTTCATGTTAACTTGCGTCACGTGCACATCCAACGGCCATGTTAACCCAAAGTTGATGCGAAGCATCCGGGTGTGGCAGTGGCGTTGGATAAACTCCACGACCAAAGGTCTGATGGAGGTCACAGGTCAAGCCTTGAAGAATCGTATGGCAATGTGAGTGGAAAAAAAATCGCGCGAGTTTTCAGGCACAAATTCCCTGTAAATTACAGATCATCGTTTGAAAACCACAGACCATTTTGGGGAATGAATCAGCAGTTTCGCTATGGCGAAAACGACATTTTTTCAAAACGCTCAAAACGCTGGCGCGGTTTTCCCCCCGCCGGGATGTTTGTGCTTGCTGCTTGCCGACAATCACTCGGCGATTCGCAGGGCTCTGCTTCGCAAGTCACAGCCGCGCCCAGGGAACTATGAGATAGGTCAACTTGTTCTGTACTGGAAGACAAGAAACACAACAGGGTTTTTGTCAGGGTGGTTCCACCACAATCTGGGTTGCACACGGCGATAGACTGTTGCGATGTTCCCCTGAGAGTTTGCGTCCTGGGTCAGAGAGAGAATGGCAGAATGCATCCGAGTCTTTAGATCATCGTGTTCAAAGCCTTCAGAACCCATTGGATGGGCCAAAAGGCATATCTGAACTTGGACATGTTTTCAACGACGGCTTGTCTCCTGGTGAAATGTATACACACCTGGTACTCCATTAGATGCCCCCGAAGTTCCCATCAGTAGCCAACCAATTGTTCAACCAGCAATCGTTTCCAGAGCCAATAACATCCAATCTAACTACGCCTGTCACAAGCCCCCATCAAAGTACAAGTGATAATCCTCCTCCAAATAACTTCCCTGACTTTGAATCCGAAACTGCCATAGACTTGGATACACCAGCCGAAGAACTGGCCGATGCGGCAGAGACAGAAACTGTCTTATCATGCCACAAAATCAGCGACTCCCTCCAAGAGGATCCGATCCACGAAGGGTATGTGTTCCAACCTGGCACTGAGTCCTGCGAGGTTTGTCCTGCGGAAGATGGTTTGGCGCTGATTGATGAGCCCATGAGTCACCACGATCATCAGCGTTTCATGCTTGAAGTTCTAATGTCCCGCCAGGACTTACTGCAGCGGCCTCAGTCTTCCCATCCGGAAGAACTTGCCCAGGTCGCCTCTGCTGGAAAAAGAGCCCGAGCGGAAGTTCCGATCAAAGATTTGAACGCTGAAGAGCGCCGGCTTTTCGACACTGCCAAAGAGGCCTTAAAACCAATTCTCCGAAAGCACCTGAATCCCGATCAAGTCCTCAAATCAAGATGGGTTCTGATTTGGAAGAGTGTAGCTAATGACGGTGACAAAACCAGTGCAAGAAAAGCCAAGGCCAGGTTAGTAGTTTTGGGTTATCAAGATCCTCGACTTGCTGACGTCAACAGAGATGCTTAACTCGGGAGGGCAGGCATACCATTCTCCAGTTAATTTCATCACAGCAGTGGGGGACATCAAAACTGCTTTCTTGCATGGAAAGGCAGATAGTGAAAACTGGAGCCCCCAAAAGAATTGCGAGAACGTATGCAATTACCTGATGACCAGGTATGTGCCTTGATTGGAAATGTGCAAAGAGCTGTCCAGTCAACTGCGGACTCCAGGTTTCAAAATGCATCCGTTGGAACCCTGTGTATACTACTTGGAGTCATGGAAAAATGGACAGACAATTTTGCATGGCGCTCGAGGTACTCATGTTGATGATGGCATATGCGGTGGGGATTCTTGATTTCGTTCACGATTGGACTTGCTTCCTCAGAAATTGCCATTTGGATCTTACAAGCAAAGAAATTTTGTGCTTACAGGAATCCAACTTGAACAACTGCCAGATTTCAGTATCAGAGCCCACCAAGCAGAATACTGTATATCAAAGCTGTTCCTCTCCTAGAGATTGGTAAACATCGAAGGAACGTTGCGCAGGAGCCAATTTCCGAAAAAGATATGTCCAACTTGAGAGGTCTCATTGGTAGTTAGCAATATGCCACCACCAATACAAGACCAGATGCGGCCGCGAAACTTGGAGAAACTCAGGTTCAGTTGTCGAAACTGACCATCTCGACACTGCTGGAGGCCACTAAAGTTCTGCAAGAGGCCCAGCAAACACGTGATGTGGGACTGTGCTTCAGATCCATGTCTCTTCAGAAACTCACGCATGTAGTGTTTGGAGACGCGTCTTTTGCTAGCCCAAAGCAAGTAGCATCCTTTCAGGGAACTCTAGTTTTTGCCTCAACCTAGATCTCCAGGATAATAAGAGAGCACCTATAAGTCCATTTCATGGTCGTCAAAGAAAATCTCCAGGGTAGGCAAGTCGACGTTATCAGCTGCGGCATTCTCCATGTCGCGTACCGTAGATAAGATGAGATGGTGCCGATTGCTGTGGGGCACATTAATCATCCCTGAGTTCCAGTGGAGAAGTCTTCCTGATGCATTTCGCCAGATGCACGCTGCCGTGATTGTCACAGATTGTAAATCCTTGTTTCACCTTGTAAGCCGCAGAGCGATGCCGTCATTTGAAGAATATCGTACAACCTTAGAAGTCTTACTCAAAAAGGAAAGGTGCATGGAACATTGTTTCTTCAGGTGGATTCCAACTTCACTGCAACTGGCCGATCCTTTGACTAAGAATATGGATCATCGCTTCTTCGAGCAGTACTGGAACAAGGGGCATTTCAATTATTTGATGAGGCAGCAAGTCTTCAAACGAATGCACACCGGAAACCAGCTTTACAAGGGCTGAAGGAACCACATCAAAAATAGAGTTTTGGGAGTGCGATTTCCATTACACCTGTGCCTTTGATGTGATGTCCCTTTCTCCTGGCAGCATGTGGCGATGTTACCATGCGCGACGCTGGTACCATCTGTGGCTCAGGCGATACAAGGAGGGTAGGGCTGTGGATCTAGGTCGCCGGACGGCCATGGAGTCTTGAGTGTCCAAAAGGGTGCTGCGTGACTTGGTGGCGCAGGGCATCCACTATCTTTTATCTCACGTGGCAGGACAATTTCATTCTGGATTCATTTGCAACTGACAGGGTCAGCTTTTCTGATTTTGGTGAATTCCTCCGCTGCCAGCTGTGTTATTCACACACATACACATATATGGATATATATATATATATATATATACGTATATATATATATATACATACATATACACACACAGACATTTAAATATGTGTGTGTTTGTCGTGATATATCATGATGTGTCATGATGCATCATGATATTACTGATACCACCACCTAGTCATGGACATCAGGGCCCCGCACCAGCTGCGCCATAGCGCCTTGGAAGTTGGAGCTAGATGCCTGGGCAACACGTTCCAGTTAAAACGTCAACCAGATTTAAGATATCTCAATATATCAAGACACCTCCTTCCAGAGACAGAGAGAGAGAGAGATAGAAAGAGAGAGAGAGAGAGATAGGTTGATATACACACACGTCTACGTATGTATTGTATGTATGTATATATATATATATACATATAATTATATATTCATTTACTCCTTTCCATTCCTGTCCTGTCCTGTCCTTTCGTTGCCTTTCCTTTCATTTCATTTCCTTTCATGTCATTCCATTCCGTTCATTCGTTCATTCATTCATTCAATCATTCATTCATTCATTCATTAATTTCTTTCCTTTCATTTCAGTTCATTTTATTTCATTTCAATTCACTTCATTTCATTCATTCAATCAATCAATCAATTCAATTCAATTCAATTCAATTCATTCAATTCAATTCATTCATTCATTTATTCATTCTTTCATTCTTTCATTCTTTCATTCATTCATTCATCCATTCCATTCCATTCCATTCCATTCATTTCATTTCATTTCATTTCATTTCATTTCATTTCATTTCATTTCATTTCATTTCATTTCATTTCATTTCATTTCATTCATTCATTCATTCATTTCATTCATTCATTCATTAATTCATTCATTTCATTTCATTCATTCATTCATTCATTCATTCATTTCATTCATTCATTCATTCATTTCATTCATTCATTCATTCATTTCATTCATTCATTCATTCATTTATTTCATTTCATTCATTTCATTCATTCATTCATTTCATTTCATTTCATTTCATTTCATTTCATGCATTCATGCATTCATGCATTCATGCATTCATGCATTCATGCATTCATGCATTCATTCATTCCATTCCATTCCATTCCGTTCCGTTCCATTCCATTCCATTCCGTTCCATGCCATTCCATTCCATTCCATTCATTTATTCATTCATTCATTCATTTCATTTCATTTCATTTCATTTCATTTCATTTCATTTCATTCATTCATTCATTTCATTCATTTCATTCATTTCATTCATTTCATTCATTCAATTCATTTCATTCATTTCATTCCATTCATTCATTCATTCATTCATTTATTCATTCATGCATTCATCCATTCCATTCCATTCCATTCCATTCCATTTCATTCATTTCATTCATTTCATTCATTTCATTCATTTCATTCATTTGGTTCATTTGGTTTATTTCGTTCATTTCGTTCATTTCGTTCATTTCATTCATTTCATCCATTCCATTCCATTCCATTCCATTCCATTTCATTCATTTCATTCATTTCATTCATTTCATTCATTTCATTCATTTCATTCATTTCATTCATTTGGTTCATTTGGTTTATTTCGTTCATTTCGTTCATTTCGTTCATTTCATTCATTCATCCATTCCATTCCATTCCATTCCATTCCATTTCATTCATTTCATTCATTTCATTCATTTCATTCATTTCATTCATTTCATTCATTTCATTCATTTGGTTCATTTGGTTTATTTCGTTCATTTCGTTCATTTCGTTCATTTCATTCATTTCATTTATTTCATTTCATTTCATTTCATTTCATTTCATTTATTTCATTTCATTTCATTTCATTCATTCATTCATTCAATGTATCGCTTGGGCAATATCAACGTATCTGGTTTCAGTTGTTGTAAATAGGTGGTTTGGAACTGGCCCTCCGATCCATTCTTCCCTCTGTCATCTTGAATGTGAACAAGACCATCAGATTTGACACATTCCGAAAACGTCCCAACATGTCCCAAGGCACCATGAGAAGTCGTTCTCGTTCAGGTGGAACGGCTGTCACGCCCTCAAGCCACCGAGGAGGCACACCTGCACTCCAGCTGTGACTGTGCTTGTTCCATCTTGTTCCATCTTGTTCCCTTGAAAATCATCAACACATTCAACACTTCAAAAACTTGCCAAAACCTGACAACCAGCCACCGGCAGTTTCAAGGTCAAATTCAGAAGCAGCACAGCTTTTGACCAGTTGGATTCATTGTCCTTTACTTGTAGTACTGCCAGCGCTCTGCATCCATTTGTGATCACTGCTGCTTCGCAAAGCAAACACGGGCAGATGGGGCCTCCTTTTTCTATCCTTTTCCCACATGTCATGAGAAGATATCGTGTTTGGAGGAGATTTCCTCGGGTCAGTTTCACAGCGCGGCAGATTTGCGAATGCTGCTCGACTGCAGAAACTGTACAGCCTTGCACAAAAGGCGGACACTGAAAGCCACCAACCCTCACTGCCTGTCATTGGGGGGGGTCGTTGCCACAGCTCCTGCCTTGAGGAAACACAATCAAGATCAATCAAGCAAGGAAACAGTGAAAACAATTTCTCTCGAACTTGACAGAGTTGAACGTGGAGTATGAGCATGGTGCGGTATCGTGTTTTGCGTGGTGCAGCAGGATGTCAAAGGTCCATCCTGAACTGCCGAAGTCCAGAAACTTCGGGGTGGCTGCAAGATGCTGCAAGTATGCTTAGTAGGCTCTCTCTCTCTCTCTTGTTCCCCTCTTTGGGAAGAGTTTCAAACAAAAAGTGCCTACTGCTCCGCTGCTTCATGCAGTTCTATACACGACAAAAAGAATGGAGCCGTTCTGGGATCAAACCCAGATCTCGCCCTGGCCCATTTGCAGCCTAGCCTCCTGCCAAACAATTTTGTTTGGACATGGAGTAGCAAAAATGTCGGCTATGGGTTTTAAACATCTCAAAATGTTATGGCAACCGGGTCAACCACAACTTGATGTATATGTGTAGCCTACATATATGTATATGTCTGTTTGTGTATGTGTGTATGTGTGTATGTGTGTATGTGTGTATGTATGTATGTATGTATGTATGTATGTATGTATGTATGTATGTATGTATGTATGTATGTATGTATGTATGTATGTATGTATGTAGTATGTATGTATGTATGTATGTATGTATGTATGTATGTATGTATGTATGTATGTATGTATGTATGTATGTATGTATGTATGTATGTATGTATGTATGTATGTATGTTGTATGTATGTATGTATGTATGTATGTATGTATGTATGTATGTATGTATGTATGTATGTATGTATGTATGTATGTATGTATGTATGTATGTATGTATGTATGTATGTATGTATGTATGTATGTATGTGTGTGTGTATGTGTGTATGTGTGTATGTGTGTGTGTATGTATGTATGTATGTATGTATGTATGTATGTATGTATGTATGGATGTATGGATGTATGGATGTATGGATGTATGGATGTATGGATGTATGGATGTATGGATGTATGGATGTATGGATGTATGCATGCATGCATGCATGCATGTATGGATGGATGTATGGATGTATCGATGCATGGATGTATGTATGTATGTTTGTGTATTTGTATATTTGTATATGTGTATATTTATATATAAATGTATATTTACTTGCATAGTTATACGTAAATTTATGTGTATATGTATACGTAAATTTATATGTAAATTCATATGTAATTTTATATGTATATTTATATGTATATGTATGTTTATATATATATGTATTTGTATGTATATGTATCTGTAATTTTATATGTATTCTATTTATATGTATATGTATATGTACAATTATATGTATATTTATATGTATTTTCATATGTATATGTGAATTCATATGTATATTTATGCTTTGGGGTCATATGTGCTGTATATTTATATTTATATGACTATTATTTATATGTATATTTACATGTATATATATTTACTTGTGTGATTATATGTGTATGTGTATGAAAGTTTATATGTACATTTATCTGATATTATTGCACGTATATTAATATGATTTAATATGTATACATGTGTGTATAGTGTATATATATATGCGATAATCTGCGATATACATATATTATATACTAATATGATCTAATATGTATATAGGCTTTAGGTGAAACGAATCAATTCTACCACCTCCAATAGCTGATTGGTCACCAAAGCTTACTGCTGGAAGTCGATCCAGCAACTTGAAGTCACCATGGGATGGTGAAATCAACACCAGACCCCATGGGGCTCATGCCAAAAATTGTCAATCCTTGTGCTCTCTGCCAGCTACACAGCAGAAGACTGCACGTGCCAACCCTAGACATGAGTGGGATTCCACTCTGCTCAAGTCGTGGATTTACAACCACAACGCAAGGCACTCACTGGTCTGGTGGGTGGTTGCGCTTGGGCACCGATGGAAACAGGTTCTTCGATTCCTATTTCACATTGCTTCACTGTGGATTCAATGGAAACAAAATGAAACAAATATATTTCATGATATCTATATAAAGTCTGTATATTATATATCTATCTATCTATCTATCTATCTGTCATATGTCAAATACGTTTGAAGCCCGCGCAAAGTCTCATCCATCGGAACGAAAGGTGCCAAAAAAGTTGGGGATCTTGCATGAGCTCCTTGTTCACAGCCAATGGATCTCTGGATCTCCCCTACTTCACCGCACAAATTCGCTCAGTTCTATTTGCAACCACGTCGTCTTGGACTCCGAGACATTCCAAGTTGAAAAGCCAAAGGTGTTTTAATGTTTCTTAAAGGTTTTTTGTTAAAACCATGTGTAGATGGGACGGCGCCTCAAGCCTTCTGTTTGATCGTTGATGACGTGTTGTCTAGGCCCACCGCGGCCATTTCCCTACCTGATCACAGTTACCAAAAGATCCAAAGTGGTAAGTAAACTAAAAATATCAGTAGTTCATTGCCGAAAGAGGGAATTAGATCGTCTGTACTACTGCGCGGTCCTTCATACAACGGTGACCTTCTTTTTGAAACAGCTTTTGAAAATAACTTAGAACTCATCGGGATCATCTAGTGCTGTCTTTTTCCAAACTTAGGTCAAGGAGTCTTATGCAACGATCCTCTGAGCAAAGTCTTTCACGCGATGCATGGTGGGAACAATAGCATCCTTGGTGACCAAAGCCACATAGATCCAAACAAATGTGGAAGGGCAGCTTGCTGAAAAAGTACCCCCACATGGTTTTGCTTGCAACGCGAACTAGTCCTTGCGGCAATCAACTACTGAACACTGTGAAGATCGAAGAATAGATTCGTGGATATTCGTGGCAAAGCAGATAACCCAAACAAGCAATACATTGTTGGCCATACAAATGCGATCAAGATCTTGACACCATGGTCATCCATGGTCATCATGTACCACCGCAAAGCAATTCAAGACTGGTCTCTTGTCTTATGCAACCCGAGTCAAGTAGATTGACAATACCCTCTTACAATGCATTGAAATATTTGATTCCAGGTCGTGTCCAAACGAGGCGAACATGAATGAGTTCCCTTCTGACATTTGTGTAAACCGAGTAGCAGTCCACCAAGGGGCCTGTTGGTGCTGTTGGAAGTCCATTGGGAGCAGGCTATGGCAGATCGATTCAGATTCTTCCATGTCCACCTGCAGTTGGATATGCTGCAAGCACTTGACTGTGAAGCTCACCGTTAAGCTCGGCTGGGATTTGGAGATTGGTTTTCAAGTTCCTTTCGCGTGGACATTGCAGGACAAAGCCTAACAAAACCGATCAAAGCTAAATGAAGACATCTGCCATGTGGAAATGCCGTGCCTCTCCGGCTCCAGCGAAAAACTGGCGCATGGAGAGTGTCTTCACCTCAAGCAGCTCTATGACATGGCAGTAGCGGAGATACGAAGTAGTCTTCTGGTAGTCTTTCTGTTCCTCCGACTGCACAGCAATAGCCACCTGCACAATCTGGACAGCATTGGACAGCTGTGAAATGCGAACACTGCGACCTGGCTTTGTGTCCAGTTGGTTCGCCTTGTAAGAAGCATTTGACGTTGGTCACCTCTCGGTCCAAATAGTCTAAATAGTCTAAACAGTCTGAATAGTTTGAATAGTCTAGGTTGTCTAAGTATATCTAAGTCACGGCCCACCCAGAAGAAACTGCTGACCCGATCAAAATTTGTCTCTGCCTTCGCAAAATCCAAAGCAGTTCGTCCTTTGGAACTTCTCTTGTTCACATCAGCACCAAAGGCTTTCCTCAGCCAATAATGGTCAAATTCAGGAGATAAGAACGTTTTGAATGTATCATAGTCATATACATGCAGACAGGTCTGCATGAAAATATGCCAATGCAAATCCATGTTTTTGAGAATCCGGTATACAGTGCGAATAAAATACATTCGGACAAATGCTTTTCCTACAATGAGTTCCATGGATAGCAACGCTTCTACAAAGGTCCAGTGCTTGTCGCTCATGGAGCTATCATGCAGCATGACAACAACACAAAAAAATGATTTCAATGAATAGTTGTCTATTCACCGTTTCCAAGTGCAGTGCTTGCCCCATCCATTGCAATACGCTGATCTTTGCCAGGCTTCAACAAACTAACGGCGTTAGGATCTCCCATCATGGATGCCAAATGGATGGGGAAAAGCCTCTCCTGCTCACGGACAAGGCACACGGAGGCACAATGAGGCACCCTGTTGGATGCTTGGACATACTGATATGAATTGTTTATCAAACAGTTTGCTTGACGAAGAGCTTCCATGAAGGGATGTTTTCACTGAAGTTTTCTTTTCAGATATCTTCGAAAAGGCGTCACAGGGAACTCTTTCTTCATTGCTTTGATACGAAGGCCTCTGCAGCATTGTCTGATGCAAGATTATTCTTTGGAAACCTCCAGGGATTTCTATACTACTAAGACCATAGCTACGTATAATTTACATATAGCTACTATAGACTATAGTTTAATAGATGTTACTAGAAACCTAGACCATCCCCCTAGGGCCTAAACATCGGCATGATGCGAAACTCGCTACGGAATTCTGTATCTTCGGATGAGCAAACGAGCATGGACAAAACTGACACAACTGGAGCCAGGCGGATCTGTGAGCACGGCCTGATTGAAACACTTCCAGGAGTTTACATCCTGACGCTTGCAGAATGCCCGAAGGCCCGAAGGCCCACACAGACATGAAAGCCATGAAAGTCAACAAAGTCACAAGAGCAAAAGAGAAGCGAGTCCAGCCCACCCTTCATGGCATGGCTTCTAGCTCAAGGCATGTGGATTAGCAACATGGAAAGTGTTGAAATATGCTAAAATGATCCAAAAGTCACTTGACTTGGTAAAGGCTGGAAGCATGACTCAAAGGGGCCCATGTATCTACAAGTTCTGCTGATTCTACTGGCGAGGCAGGGTGCGAACTGCAATCGACTCAGGCTCTTGAACCCTGAAGACAGGCTGTCCTTGAAGTGGAAATCATTCAGGAAGGCTTGAAGCTGCTCCTAAGCAAAGCATGGCGCAGCACCAGAAAACTGCGCAACAGCATGCCACAAATGCCACAACCATGCTTGACTCAAAGAATTCCTGATACAAAGCTCACCACCGTGTCTTTATGTTTTAAGTCCAACTCATGTTGAATAATGAGTAATAATGTTCACTAAACTTGCCTGCCGAAAGCGTTGACGTTTTTCGCGCTTTTCATGAGATTTGGCCTCAGCGTCGTCTCATGGCATCAGTCGATTCACTGAAAAGCCAATAAGCTTCAGTGGTATCCCCAACAGCCGCAGCGTTTTATTTTTACAATTATTACAATGTGAGGCCTCCCAGTTCTAAGTTGGTTTATAAGCCCCAGTAACTATAGCTATTTGCGTACCATAAACCATAGTGACATTGGAATTTTGCACCAACTTAGATATCGAACGGGGGCCTTAGTTTGTACGTATCAATATTTGATATATACAATTGGTGTAGTTATTTTAGATACAATAGGAATACTATAAATGTATATTATCAAATATCAATAGGAATACTATTAATGGGTTGTATATTAGTTATTTTCCTTGATATTTGTAGCGTGCTGGGAAGCCAAGCGCTGGAAACACCTCAGCCGATTTTTCGTGAATTAATGGAACCTGACTTGGCTTGGCTTCTGCAACCTTCTCCGGAACCTTCTCCGGAACATGTTGAATCTGACCTGGCTCTGCACCAAAGCCTCCCGGAGCCTTCTCCGGGATCTTATCCGGAACCTTCTCCGGAACCTTCTCCAGAACCTCGTTGAACCTGACCTGGCTCTGCACCAAAGCCTCCCGGAGCCTTGTCCGGAACCTTCTCCCTTCTCCGGAACCTTTTCCGGAACCCTGTTGAACCTGACTTGGCTTTGCACCAAAGCCTCCCAGACCTTCTCTGGAACCTTCTCCAGAACATTCTCCGGAAGCCTGTTTCCCAGACCTTCTCCGGAACCTTCTCCGGAACCTCGTTGAACCTGACCCGGCGCCTGCACCAGTGCACACCGGAGCTATTCTGGGCTGAAGACCCCCTTAGCTTACGCTGTTAGGGAATAAAACAGTAATCATTGAGGGCTCTGTACAGTAATTATAACTTATAACCCTGAGGTAAATACAGAAAAGAAATGCAAAACAACTAATGAATGAGTCTGAATGAGTCTGAATGAGAGATCATGCACTGAGGATGAGGGATCGAAGATCAAATGGGAACAGGTGAACGGGCTTCCGCCAAGCCGGGCCAAGCCGGGCCAAGCCGGGCCAAGCCGCCTTTGTGCAGTCGGCCTTGTCGGCCGGGTCGGCCGGGTCGACCTTGTCAGCCGGGTCGGCCCGCGGAGTCTCCGGAGGCGGTGGCAGCGCGTCACCTTCCACAAAACAACGTCACCAAGCCATACCCATGGACCAAGCCAGGGTAACCCTCCCAGGGTAACCGGGTAGCTTGATCTTTCTCAACAGAATGTTAAAACATCTTAAAACCTCTTAAAACATCTTAAAACATCTTAAAACCCGTTTGAAGTCTTTTGATTTTGGTTTGAAAATCAGTTCAAGATTCTTAGGAGACACCTTTCACCTATGAGTACCTCTTTGAACAGTCTCCACTGGTTGTAACCTGCTAACTTCAAAGCTTAAATCATCTTAAATCTATGGCCACCGCCACGACCCTCTCAGGTGCAAGTTTTTCGTTAGCCAAGACACAGTCATCAACTTCGCAAGGTTGCGAGGTCATGCCAACCTGCAAGACCATGGGCTCACCGAGACATCGAACCCGAGACCATCGAACACAGCCAGCTTCAAGAACAGGTTATTAGTTTACCTTAGTTTACCTTCGTTTACCTTCGTTTACCTTCGTTTACCTTCGTTTACCTTCGTTTACCTTCGTTTACCTTAGTTTACCTTCGTTTACCTTCGTTTACCTTCGTTTACCTTCGTTTACCTTCGTTTACCTTCGTTTACCTTCGTTTACCTTCGTTTACCTTCGTTTACCTACCTTCGTTTACCTTCCTTCGTTTACCTTCCTTCGTTTACCTTCCTTCGTTTACCTTCCTTCGTTTACCTTCCTTCGTTTACCTTCCTTCGTTTACCTTCCTTCGTTTACCTTCCTTCGTTTACCTTCCTTCGTTTACCTTCCTTCGTTTACCTTCGTTTACCTTCGTTTACCTTCGTTTACCTTCGTTTACCTTCGTTTACCTTCGTTTACCTTCGTTTACCTTCGTTTACCTTCGTTTACCTTCGTTTACCTTCGTTTACCTTGGTTTACCTTCGTTTACCTTAGTATACCTTCGTTTACCTTCGTTTACCTTCGTATTACCTTCGTTTACCTTCGTATTACCTTCGTTTACCTTCGTTTACCTTAGTATTACCTTCGTTTACCTTAGTATTACCTTCGTATTACCTTCGTTTACCTTCGTTTACCTTCGTTTACCTTCGTTTACCTTCGTTTACCTTAGTATTACCTTAGTTTACCTTCGTTTACCCTTCGTTTACCCTTCGTTTACCTTAGTATTACCTTCGTTTACCTTCATTTACCTTCGTTTACCTTAGGTTTACCTTCGTTTTACCTTCGTTTACCTTCGTTTTACCTTCGTTTACCTTCGTTTTACCTTCGTTTACCTTCGTTTACCTTCGTTTACCTTCGTTTACCTTAGTTTACCTTCGTTTACCTTCGTTTACCTTCGTTTACCTTCGTTTACCTTCGTTTACCTTCGTTTACCTTCGTTTACCTTAGTTTACCTTCGTTTACCTTCGTTTACCTTCGTTTACCTTCGTTTACCTTCGTTTACCTTCGTTTACCTTCGTTTACCTTCGTTTACCTTCGTTTACCTTAGTTTACCTTCGTTTACCTTCGTTTACCTTCGTTTACCTTCGTTTACCTTCGTTTACCTTCGTTTACCTTCGTTTACCTTCGTTTACCTTCGTTTACCTTCGTTTACCTTCGTTTACCTTAGTATTACCTTAGTTTACCTTCGTTTACCTTCGTTTACCTTCGTTTACCTTCGTTTACCTTCGTTTACCTTCGTTTACCTTAGTTTACCTTCGTTTACCTTCGTTTACCTTAGTTTACCGTTTAGTTTACCTTCGTTTACCTTCCTTCGTTTACCTTCGTTTACCTTAGTTTACCTTCGTTTACCTTCGTTTACCTTCGTTTACCTTCGTTTACCTTCGTTTACCTTCGTTTACCTTCGTTTACCTTCGTTTACCTTCGTTTACCTTCGTTTACCTTCGTTTACCTTCGTTTACCTTCGTTTACCTTCGTTTACCTTAGTTTACCTTCGTTTACCTTCGTTTACCTTCGTTTACCTTCGTTTACCTTACCTTAGTATTACCTTCGTTTACCTTCGTTTACCTTCGTTTACCTTCGTTTACCTTCGTTTACCGTATTACCTTAGTTTACCTTCGTTTACCTTCGTTTACCTTCGTTTACCTTCGTTTACCGTATTACCGTATTACCGTTTACCTTCGTTTACCTTCGTTTACCTTCGTTTACCTTCGTTTACCTTCGTTTACCTTCGTTTACCTTAGTATTACCGTATTACCTTAGTTTACCTTCGTTTACCTTCGTTTACCTTCGTTTACCTTCGTATTACCTTAGTATTACCTTCGTTTACCTTCGTTTACCTTCGTTTACCTTCGTTTACCTTCGTTTACCTTCGTTTACCTTCGTTTACCTTCGTTTACCTTCGTTTACCTTCGTTTACCTTGGTTTACCTTCGTTTACCTTAGTATACCTTCGTTTACCTTCGTTTACCTTCGTATTACCTTCGTTTACCTTCGTATTACCTTCGTTTACCTTCGTTTACCTTAGTATTACCTTCGTTTACCTTAGTATTACCTTCGTATTACCTTCGTTTACCTTCGTTTACCTTCGTTTACCTTCGTTTACCTTCGTTTACCTTAGTATTACCTTAGTTTACCTTCGTTTACCCTTCGTTTACCCTTCGTTTACCTTAGTATTACCTTCGTTTACCTTCATTTACCTTCGTTTACCTTAGGTTTACCTTCGTTTTACCTTCGTTTACCTTCGTTTTACCTTCGTTTACCTTCGTTTTACCTTCGTTTACCTTCGTTTACCTTCGTTTACCTTCGTTTACCTTCGTTTTACCTTCGTTTTACCTTCGTTTTACCTTCGGTTTACCTTCGGTTTACCTTCGTTTTACCTTCGTTTTACCTTCGTATTACCTTCGTATTACCTTCGTATTACCTTCGTATTACCTTCGTATTACCTTCGTATCACCTTCGTTTACCTTCGTTTACCTTCGTTTACCTTCGTTTACCTTCGTTTACCTTCGTTTACCTTCGTTTACCTTCGTTTACCTTCGTTTACCTTCGTTTACCTTAGTTTACCTTCGTTTACCTTCGTTTACCTTCGTTTACCTTCGTTTACCTTCGTTTACCTTCGTTTACCTTCGTTTACCTTCGTTTACCTTCGTTTACCTTCGTTTACCTTAGTTTACCTTCGTTTACCTTCGTTTACCTTCGTTTACCTTCGTTTACCTTCGTTTACCTTCGTTTACCTTCGTTTACCTTCGTTTACCTTCGTTTACCTTCGTTTACCTTCGTTTACCTTCGTTTACCTTCGTTTACCTTCGTTTACCTTCGTTTACCTTAGTTTACCTTCGTTTACCTTCGTTTACCTTCGTTTACCTTCGTTTACCTTCGTTTACCTTCGTTTACCTTCGTTTACCTTAGTATTACCTTAGTATTACCTTAGTATTACCTTAGTTTACTCTGGAAAGGAAAGGTCCAGCCAGGTCCAGCTGTCTGAATAGCCTGCCAAAGCACTGAAGCTACTCCCAATCTGTGTGCCTGGAGGTTGAATGTCAACATGACACCTAGAGCTGCAGCACTCCGTCGACAACCCTGTTCTGAGCCAAGGAGCGAAAGCTGCGCCAAGAGCATATTGGAATCAAAGTTGTTACCATTTTCTTGCACATCTTGCACTGTTTTTCAAGAAATGCTCAATACATCTCAATATGGGGCCTCGTCTTGTTCCTAGATTCACATCATTTCACATCTCAATGTCTGGTTTCTTCCTGAGGATAGGTTCCCCCGAAAGCACGTTTCCTAGGCGGTTTGGTTTCGGCTCTCGTGACTGACGCAACAGAGTGGCAAGAGACGACGTCTATTCTACCTGCTTCAACTATTTTTTTTCATTTTTGGAGCTGAAATGAACCATCAAATTTCTTCTGGCACGTATCGGAACTGGCACCTGAATCGCCCCATGCAAACCACACCCCTTCGTCGCTGAATGCAGCCGTAATGATTGCGTCATCGCCTTACAGAGCTTTGGAAATTCTGTCAGATACGGTATCCGACAATATCTGACAATGACCGGCGGTCGGCAAGTCGCAAGCCTTGAAATACACACGTTGCCCATTTTCACATATTTTTAAGTTATGTTTTCTAGTTGTTTATAATGAGTCATAATTCAGAATGTTTTACACTAATATAGTTGTTTGTTGTGGGATAGGCACTTCGCTGTGGCCTTCCACTGGCCGGGGCAGTAGGAATGAGATGCAGGGTCGCCAATGGTGCCGAGCCTCGGGCTGCCGTGCAAAGACGCTGTGAACTTCCACTGAAAATTCCACAATTCATCACAATATTTCACGATTCCCAAGTGTCAAAATGGATCAAAATATGTCAAAATGCTCAACTTGGAGACTGTGACATATGTCAAAATAGGTCACGCCCAAGATCTCGGTACATCTCGGATCATCTCGGGCCACGACTGGGGTTGATTCTTCTGAACTGGCGGCCTCCCGAAGAAAGGTCGATCAAGTCATTTGAATTTCTCCGTGTCACGATGGGAATTCCGTTACCATCGGTTACCTATGTCTTCAAAAAGAGGTTGAAAACAGCAGAGATACGAAAACGGTTCTTTATTGCTTCGATTGTTCCCTGTGGGTTCTCATCATGCGATACCTACGGTCAAGTATTGTACCAAAGTATCTGTTTACCGTCATGCCAGGGATCAGACAATAGCACCCAATTCAATTGAGGGTTGAATGTCGGTTCTCCTGCTTCTCCTTTGATAGCAAGGGTTTTCCAAACGTCAACAAACATCAGCTCATCATCCAACACTTCTCAGAATATGTTCACAAGTCTTTCTCAGGTTTCATCAAAAAAGCAGCGCCAATCTTTTCAAACAAAGGCTCTCACTCAGATATGTTCTGCCAATTCAAATTGTGGCTGGTGGCTGTCAGGAACTCAGTACTCGTGGCACCCGTAGAATTGCCGCAGTCTGACTGCTGCATCGCCTTTCCCTTTCTTGCCCTTCCCTTTGCCTCGCAGAACCAGCTCATTTGCGCGCTGACCAAAAGGAGGTGCAAGGTATTGTGTACGTGGGCCGTTTTCCAATGTCAAACGACATAGTTGTGCTGACAGACTCGGGCCATTTGACCAAAGCCATCATCAGTGAGAGTTTTGTTGGGGAACCTGTCAAGATACCCCAACTACCCAATCACACCTTCCAGAATGCCTAGGGCAAACGAGTGAATCTATTACCTACAGTGCACAAGTCTTTCCAGGCCTCTCAGCATCAGTCTTAAAGAATTGTTGCGTGTTCATCTCAACAGTTTCTCCACTTTATTTGGTGACAACCACATCTGTGGCCGTGCTTTCGTTTCACCGCCCAAGTTACCACCATAGCCGTTGGACTTTCCTCGCGTCCATCCTTGGTAGAAATCCAGCCAGAGCGGAAGCCTATGCTCAAGAATTCGCGTTCATATCTGTTCTTTTCATTTATCTGTCCTTTTCTTATTTTTCATTTTTTTCTTGTGTTTGTGTTTTGTGTTTGCTGATTTTGCTGTGTTTGCTCGGCTTGGTCTACTCTGAGTTTCCCTTCCCGTAGCCATAGCCGCGCGGTGCTAGCAGTTGCACAACGTCCATGTGGCCCTTGGATTTTGCCAAGGCCAAAGGTGTGGTTCCAGCACCTCACATGACTGCAGACTGACGTGACTTGTCCAACTTCAAACCCAATGCCCGTGTTCACTGTGTGTTCACTGTGTGTGTGCTGCATCTTTAGTCTCTATGAATGGTTCAGCCTTGAGGTACCCTCTGGTCCAACAAAGTTTCAGCCATGTCTGCGGCACTTCTTTGCATGCAGAGTGTACTTCTGTGGTATTGGTATGCCAGTTTCAAGTGATTTCTCTACAACACCTTGGCAGAAACATTAAGAGTGACCAAGTACTAGGCCTTTGCAGCTTCCCATCATGTGGTCCCGCGATCCCTGCGGTCCCCACGGTCGCCTTGGCCTTGGCCCTGATCCGCTCGCTGCACCAGGAGCAACTCGACAACCTCGTGGCATTCGACGGAAACGGAGTGTGGAGAGCGACAGTTCGGGGGTTCGAACGATGTTTCAATAGTTCCACTTCTTGACGGTTCCTACTTTTCGCGCTATTCTTACTTCGATCTTCATCTTGAATCTTGATAGATTCACGTTGATGCATCTTGATCTATCCCCTCACCTGGAGATTGCCATATAGAGCGGCGAAGTGCAAGGGCATCCAACCTCGGCAAGAGGTATGATACAGAGTGGAAAGTAGGGATGATCTCTAGAATCATCTTCGCTTATATAGACTACTTTGAACGTGTAAGGCGCTTTCCATACATCAGATCTGTACCCCGGGTTCTCAATCAGGATCTTGATACATCACTTCAGCCCGCTTCTAATGGTTCTACCATCCTCCAGCCTCAATCAGCCAATGCAATCGGAGAACCTTTCTCATTGACGCAGTTGACGTTTGCTTCAGCAGACAGCAGGGAGCGAGCGATGTTCACATCACCGCGCTGAGCGGCTACGTGCAAAGACGTCAAGCCTCTCCTTTCCTCAGCCGCTGAAAAGACGCATTCAGAAGGCCCTCATCAGAATCTGTGTTCTCTCTGTTTTTGTTTGAATGTCTGAACTCTACATCGTTGAAAGGATAGCAGGGGGAAGGATAGCAGAGGAGCTTACAAGGGCAGTTGATTTCCATGCGCGCGCTGCTTTCCGGCGTGCACGTGTCCCTTTTGCCAACCTCTTCAGCGCACAACAACCCAAACCTTTATGAATGAACCTGGCTCTACGTCTGTGCTGTTCGCTTTCCACTCGAAGAGCAGCTCGACTCGGGATCAGGGGCGAAGAATAGTTTTCAATTTTTTTGACAAGGTTTGGGATCTTTTGGGGGATTTCTTTCCAGGTACCATTTGCCTTTGCTTGCAACAGTTTGGAACTAGAATCTGTAATTTAGCATAGTATTTGCTACATGTTGGTACTTCAAACGTTCATGCTGGTTTCTTTAGGGTGTCATTAGGGTGTCATTTTGCGTATCTTTAGGGTTTCTTTAGGGTTTCATTAAGGGTTTCTTTACGGTTTCATTTAGGGTTTCCATTAGGCTTCTTATTTATTAGGGTGTCTTTGGGTTTCATCTAGGGTTTCTTTAGGGTTTCATTAAGGATACAAACAGGAGAGAATAAAGCAAAAGAGAAAGAAAAGCAAAGAGACATCAAAGAAAGGAAGCAGAGAAGCAGAGGAGAAGGCAGAAGCAGAGCAGCAAAAACACATGACTGCAGAATAAGAAAAAGTACAAGTAGAAAGGCACAGAAGCAAAAAAGCAGAAAAGCAGAGAAGCAGGAACAGCAAAAAAGCAGGAATCTACAAAAACTGAAAAAACTTTAACCTTGTCAAAAAAAAATGAAATAAATAGCCCTCCCGAGACAAGTCTCTCTCGCTTTGTCGATCTCCACACCATGTGACAGCAAGACACTCACCACATCCTCATGGCCCATCTCAACTGCCAGACGAAGTGCGGAAGATCCTTGGAGCAAAACTGGAGCCTTGAAATGCTATGGCTGGGCAAGAAGAAATAAGAAAAACGCAAAAAGAACACGATTCGACTGGCAAGTTGCAACAGCGTTGTTCTGTGATTGTGAATGTGGTTTATAAATGTCTATAATACAGCCATGTGACTTTATTCGCCACCTCCCTTTTGCATGAGTCAGTTACAAAGACTCGGTTACTTGAAGCGAGGCTCCGTTCTTGGTTCTGCTCTCGCCATCCATCAAGCAGCTTACGAGCTCCGGGCAGTCAAAGTGGACTGCGACGTGCCTGAACGTGCATGCCATGCCGTGCCCATTTTTGAAATGTTCACTGAAGAGGCTCGTTTCACATCAACGCAGCCCAATTGCATCCAATGGGAAAACAAGGTCTAGCAATGTCTAAAATGAAAAAATGGCTGTCTTACAACCAGAATCAAATCACTCGAGTGAACCGCCTCGATACACCGACGCAAGGTGAAAAAACAATCAACCTCTTAAACAAGCTAAACATGTGAAACGTATTGATGTTGTTCTTTCTGTTGCACATGTTACACAATGTTACACATATATTACTTATTATCAATTTTCATCATATTCATTTAATTTCTCAATGTTGCGCTGATCTTTCACCAGGGTGCAGCGGTGTCAATCCCATTCCAGCCCTCTCTGCCCCGAGGTCCAACAGCAGCCGTGCTATCTGAAAGTGTTCCTTCTGAGACGCCTCGACAGACGTTTTTCAAGCACCGAAAAGGCTTCGGTCAACGCAACGCAACCTTTACCCCAGTACCCCCAGTACCCCCAGTACCCCCAGCACTGTAGGAGCAGAAGTAGCACTAGCACATGTAGTTGCAGTAGTTTGCAATAGTAGTCCTATCTAGTCCTAGTACTTGTGCTGAAATGCACCAACAAGACTAGCAGCTTTGAACCTTGACATGAGTAACTGTCTCTTCAGTCTTTCGCCATGTTTTTCCATTGAGGGGTGAGGGCAGGACATGAGCAAGACATGGGTGAGACATGGACGGATCGCCTTGTGAAGTAGGCCACCAAACAACTCCTCATCCTCCAAGTGTTCAGTTCCAATTTCGTCATTCTGAAGAAAGAAGCGCACGATCTCCAAATGGCCTTGCTCAACTGCCAACAGAATTGGTGTCATCCCATCTCTGCTCATCATGTGACTTGCTCCCCTTTCCACGAGAAGCCGTACTGTCTTCAAATCGCCTGCAAAGCCAGCAGGTTTGAAGATCCAAATCTTGTGGCAAACGGTAGAACTACTGAGCTATAGGCAGCTCTTGGCAGCTCTTGGAAGCTCTTGGCAGCTATGGGGGTAGCCAGCGTCCAGCTGTACTGATGTGGACTAAAGAAAGTAGAGAGCAAGGTTGATCAAAGAGGGACAACTGACACCGCGCAGAGCTGAATCATGACTGAAAGAATCTTTCCAATTTGACTAAGTAGATGTAAGATGACGTAAGTAATCCTGAGTAGGGGGTGAATTATGTTGTCCCATCAAATGCATTGGGGTTGGATAACCAGTGGAATTCTCTCTGAGATCTCTGGGCCTTTGTAGACAGCAACGTGCAGCGCAGTTGCGCCATTGTCTTTGCTCGCTTTGTCTGTGTCAACGCAGTGGTCCAACAAGACCCGCACGAGCTCCAAGCTGCCTGCAGCGCTAAATCATGCTAAACCAGCTAAACCCCACGAACTTCAGGCAAATGCCTTTGAAATTCTTTCAATGCCGTTAATGCATTGCAAATGGGTTGTCAATGTATTGTCAAGGTGTCATTTGTTTGTCCAAAGCATTGCAACAGCGCACGCCAACCGATTTGGGCGTCAAGCACTAGAAATTGAAAGGCCTTTGTCCAAGCAAACCAACTCTGACTGGCACAAAATCTACACTGAAACCATTGGAAAGCCAAAGATCCGTTCTGCACCGCAAAGTGCAAAGCTGTTACCCCGCGAGTGACGGTGCCCAGGTTCTTTTCAGCTTTCCTGGGCACCATTGGGCACCATTGGGCACCAGAAATTGCTGTGGCATCATTGCATCATATTGATTCATATTGCATCTCTCCTTATCTCTTGCACTCACAATCCAGACAAAAACTTTAGGCCTCACTGATCCTGATCCGCAATTGGTCCTCAATGCCACTGAATGCTTAGAGTCTTAGAATGTGTTAGAGCTACTCCGAGGTATTCCGAGGTTCTGCTCGAGCAGAAGGCGTACAATTTCCAGGCGTCCCTCTTGTGCTGCCATTAGCATCGGGGTCATTCCTTTCCCCTCTGATGTCCTGACGTTCCTGACGTGAGATTCACAAAATGTGCATTTTGCATCATTCTACTTCGAGCATCTCAAGCATCATGACAGTTACCCGTTTCCATGCGGGCTTCCAATGGGCTACAATCCACACAAACATACACAAACTGAGAAGTATGTGATCAGAGAGCAGGCCCTCAAAATACGGCCAAATGCAATTTAAAATCTACTGATGTCGCATCTCGACCGACAGACCAGGCAAAAAAATCACCGTTCGATTTAGAAGAATTAGGGGTAGGATGTGGTATGATAAGTATTTCAGTGTTCGCGGCTGAATCAGAGATCTGATTCGGGGCACCAACAGTGCGCAATAGCAATGCTGAAAAGCCTCAGATTCTTTGATCCCCGAGTTTTACATGACTTGTTTCAGTTTGTTTCAACATGTTTCAACACGTTCAGCCCAGCTTCATGTTGGCGCCGAACTCCACCAAAACTCGCACCACCTCAGAGTGACCCCCGGCAGCCGCAAGGTGCCTCGCTTGCAGACGCGCGGCTGAAACGCAGGTCTAGAACAACGACATGTCAGTGCTGTGCGACAAGTCCATTCATCCACAACGACAACAACAACAACAACAGGAGGAAATCATGGAGAAAGAGGGGGAGGGGCAAGAGCACCTGGATTTGAGGGAAAGTGAAATGAGATGAAATTAGAGTGGCTCCAATGAATGGAAGCAAAATATCCCAAGTTCATGTCTGGTTGCATGGGTGTGGTGCCAACGTTGAGAGTTGCTTTGTCTTTGTCCGCTTTGGCTTCGAGCAAAAGGCGCACAACTTCTGCAGAGCCTTTCCGTGCTGCAAAGTGCAAAGGTGTCAT